TCGTACATCACACCACCTCTCCATATCACCCTCAAACCAACGGACTGACTCAACGCTTCCATGAGACCCTCGCGGATAGGGTAGCAACGTACATTGCTTCTGATAATAGCAATTGGGACACTATTTTGCCCTTCGTGACATTCGCATACAATACCGGACAGCAAGAGGCCGCTGGTTTTTCTCCCGTCTTCCTTCTTTATTGACGAGAAGCATCGTGTAACATGGACACTATCTTGCCTTATTCATAGAGCAATCAGGACGCCCTTCTCATGCAGCTGACATGCCGTGCCGAGGCGTGCCGCCAACTGGATCATCTTCGAACTGCTCAGCAGCAGCGTACCGCGAAAACTCGCTATGATTTCCGGCATACAGCCGCTACTTACGGACCAGGAGACCTTTTCATGATGTGGATACTCATCAAGCGACAAGTCATCGCAGACAAGTTCCTACGCAAGTATGTCGGGCCATATCGCGTCATCAATCAAACGACACCAGTCACATGTCATGCCGAACCATTCTCACCACCATCCGATGCCCTCTTCCAAAACGACGACATTATTCATCTAAACCGGCTAAAGAAATATGTTCAGCCCCAGCGAACCCCTCTGAAGCACTAATCGCCAAGATCCTCCTCACCGTTCAACTGCAAAACACCCCTACCGCCTTCCGGTCTATAAAGACTCTTGCCGCGTTCTACTCCACACGGACGCCGCCCCCCCCAACCCCCTCTTCCTTACCCCCTCCCCGGAAAAAGGGGGGGAGTGGGTAATTGTGACGTGTTTACTTCACGATGTTCCCTTCATCGTCTTTCAGCAGGGTGGCCGAGGAGGACGAGGCCCGCGTGCGCTTGAACTGGATGCGCGGGCAGAGGCGCGCTCAATGCTTTAAAGTGCGGACATAAAAACAATCGTCGACTCTTGGTCTTCGCATATATCACATCGTGGACTTCAGCTGTGATCAAAGTACGAGGCTCGCGCGCGTCTTTGGCTTAATGTGCTGCGTCAGCCTTTTCTATGTGTTGAGTCATCCTTCTCAATGTGCTGAGTCATAATCTTAATTCGCTTAGTCATCCACTGAGTGGTCACGTAAAAGTTTTGGTACCTTTCATATCCCCGACGTGTTTTCCCTCGAAGACTTTGAAGGTCGACTGAACGATGAGACACATAAGGCCTCAACTTAATAATCTGATATTAATCCAAGATATTCGTTTGTTGTACAATAATTGTGAAGTATTTTTCAGTAATGCCACAATGTTTTACTCTGTTAAACAGCTTCGAAATTGGTAATAACAGTACTGCCGTGGCAATGTGAAGTTCTTGTACAGATAAGTTGGCCGTTTTTCTGGTAAATTTCTATTCTTTATCATTAGTCCTATGATTGAAAATTATATTATATAATAATTACTTTTAATTACAAAAACAATTAATATTTTTAAATTTTGTATCACAATTAAACTGATAAAACACATATTTGAAAAACTTTTCGATTGCTATGCCCCACTGCCATCTTTAGCGCTCTATTTTACACGTGTTCCACATATGGTATACGTCGAATTGATTACCTTCATTACGGCCTGTTGTTTTATGCAGCGCTATGCTATTGTAGTGGTAATTGAGCAATAAAAACAGTGTTAACTTTTGCGTTATGCAGCTCTTAGTAACGCAGGGTTAATATGGAAGAGATAAGTGCCAAGATAGCGCAGTTTCTTGGGCCAATGTCCGGTTTTTGTCTGGAATGTTAAGGCCTTAAAAACCCCGAAGACTTCAATGTGCAGCCAAACTTCATCTTTATTGGCTAGACTCGGGGTATCCTGGGGTTAATTCGTGAAATATATGCCAAAGTTATGCATTACCACTGGTACATCAGTTGTCATATAGCATATTTGGGCTGAAATCGCCAAACAGGTGCAGGTTTAGTCTTTATTGCACTGTTTTTCTTTCACACATATCTGGCAATCTGGCAATTATATGGCGAGTACAAAAACTCGTAAGACCGTTAATTAAAGTACTCTAGCAATATAATTATTCTCATCTTAGCGTGAACTATTGTCAGCCGCTCAAGCTAAAAGCGCGAGCTAGTTGCTTTTACCGAAACCTTGGAGGCTGCGCGAGCTCTAGTGCAGCGAGTGCTCCAGGCAAGACGGTCAAAGCTGGCCGCTCACACTTGCACAACCTTCGCAATTAGTCCATGCAAAGTTGTGGGAGATCGGTGGCCTGGTGGGCTAGCGCAGAGCCGTATATCTAGAGTTTGGCCATTCACTGAGATGTATAAAAGACAAATCAGGAAGCGCCATGGGCCGAAGCGGGCTGGGCGTGTTCCAGGCCGTCTTCACAAATTCGAATGTGGCTAACCAGAAGCCGGAAATGATACTCTGGCGGTAGTAGCGAGAAACAAACTTAATAGGTCCGTCGAAGTAACTCTCGGTGATTAAAAATATGGTGCATGTGATGTTTTAATCACAATTGTCCAAAATCATGGTGGAAGAGTGCGACTGGCGGAACGATCGACATAATTCGTACGCCATGCGCCGAAGGCCGGGAACCTGCCGTCCGAGCGGTCATACCCTCTCAGAGCAAAACAGAGTTGGGCGGCACATTCTTTTCTAACATCTTTCTGCAGGATCATGATCGAAACATTACGTGCACCCTATTTTCAACCATGAAGGGTTATTACATTTAACTTTTACTCGCTTAAATAAAAAAATAAAACTGTTTCTCGCTACCGCAACTAGGGGATTCTTCTGTGTTTCTGGTTGGCCAAGAGAGCATGTCAAGCCCTTGTTCAACATCTGGTGCACGCCCCGCCTCTGCCCGCGCCTTCCATTGACCAAACTCTCCCCATAAACGGCTCTAGGCGAGCGCACACCAGCTCCGAGCACGGGGACCGAAAGCTCGCGCTGCTGAACTAAGGAATTCTGGGCTCAATCCGGACCTCTGCTCGTTTAGATCTGGATGAGCATCGTACTTGCGTGCGGTCGTGTGTCACTACTGCGAGGTGCAGGTAAAAGACTCCAGGATAGCGGTTGCACCGCACTGGCTAGATTGCTCATTTATAGATAGGAGACAAGTCTCCCGTTGATAGAAACTAGTAACCATACACACACACACACCTCAATTCCACTCTAAGGTGACACGAAGTATAACTGACGCATTAAGCCAAACGTATTAACATTAAATAGGGCCCAACTTAGTTCCCTTGGATGGCCAAGCTTGTGCCAAGTTTGGCCTCTTTATGGCGTGCTATTTGAGTTGTTTCAGTGGCGCCATCTCACGTTTCGAACCTGAGATGCTGCAAGAATTATACAAAACAACTTAAGGCTCCGGTCACTTATTCCCGTCTAAAATCAAAATGCTCGATGGTAAGCGCAAAGATTACCCAGGAAATACGAAGACTACAATAATATTGTAAATCTCGTTTCTTTCAGAGTGAATTTATCTCACATACTTGGCACCAGAGAGAATCAGACACGGCCACGAGCGAGCTTTTATCGCCATCATCTCACCTTCTAAATATGATCCTTCTACGGCGAAGTACACTAAACGACACTGTTAGCGCGATCAAGGTTTAGACGCTTTTAGAATATTACTGTGGAAGCGTACGCGTGGGGCATCAAAATTTACAACTTACTTCAGTACCCCAAATTAACATTTTCCTCCACTATAGTGACGTTTTTGACAATGCTTCAATACTGAGAAAAAAAATTTATGAAGAAAAACAGCGATTGCTTTTCGTCAGAGAACAGGACCGTGGCGTGTACATCGGGAGAAAATATTCGTGCTTTAGCGCTGTGGTTTTTGTATAAAACAGGCTTAAAAAACTTGGGGGGACTCTTAGGGTCGCCTACGCAAGGCCTCCTCAAATGGACGATTGCTCGTTGCAAAGCCGTACAAGCGTGTGTGCGTGGTCTAGTCGGTAGCGTCACGTGCCACGTGACGTCACAAGTGGCTGTGACGTCATGACCCTATCGTACCTCTAATTTTGGCGGAAACATTTTCCGCTAAATTTGGCGGGAAAAGTTTCCGCTAATTGTGAAGGGAAAATATTTTGCTAAATTTGACGCGAAGAATCTCCGCTGAATTTGGCGAGAAAAAGTTCTCGCCAAATTTAGCCTGAAATTTTATAATGCACCGCATGCAGCCAAGTGTGACGTCATGTGTGGCATACGTTGCTGCGCGCGTTTATGGGATTGTTTGATCCTACCGACGCTGACGCCGACGCCAACGCCAAATTTTTGGCGACTCAAGCTCCTAAGCGCGCTATCGCGTTAAATTGCATATATTTTAGAAATGCTATACATTGAAAGATGATGGCCAAGTAAAATACCTAATATAAGTTCAAGTTGCTCCTTGCTTGGAAACGTCTAGGTGTGTGCTCGCGCCTGTGTGTGCATTTGGTGCCGTTCACTGCATTTGCGTGATTGATATTTATTTACAACACCTCCATGGCCGTGAGGTGTTAGAGAGGGGAGTGGGTGACATATTAACAATATTGTCGATTCCCTTCGCTAAATCTTGTGGGGTCCTTGATGGATGCGATGTCACCGGGAAGGTGATTCTACTCGGCAATCGCGTCGGTGAGAAGGGTGTTTTGGTGTGCTGTGCAAAGTCATAACGGCCAGGCTTTTTTCTTTAGGAAGATCTAGTTAAGAAGACGAATAGGTTGGCGGAGTGAGAAGAGTCTAATGTAGTGTTGGCGAATTATATATTTTATGAAAAAGGCACAGACGAAAATTTTTCCGTCAGGTAATAGCTAAGGAAGAGAAACATTAGACTTAATTTGAGAAACACTAGAAGAAAAAAAAACCCGAGCAGGTACACTTAATGAACCGGGCAGCACTGCTTGGGGCAGTCTCAGTACTGTCTCTTAGTGAGGGTGCCGAATGGAAGATGGGTACTCTTAATTTCTATCACACTAAGGAAACGTAAACAAAGTCACTTTAGCTTCAAAATCTTACTTTTGTTCCGATACAATCTTGTGTATTCTACTTTTCAGGTTCATTCATGGCGTGCCTGTACGTATGTGTCAAGGTCCTCGTGGCAAGTGTTTTGCTCACGGCCATCGCATACGTCATAATCACTATGAAGATGGCGTTCCCGCTCGGACATTCCAAGATAAGCTGGTCCTTCCTGTGGATCAACATCTTTCAAGATGATGATTTGGACATAAATCGAACCTTCTATCTTCCTTCAAACTATACAATCAACGTTGAAGATCTCTGTCATGAAAATGCCGATCCCGCGCCCATAGAGCTTCTAGTCCTCGTAGCAACGGCACCGAAAAACTTGCAACTTCGCGACGCGATTCGTCAAACCTATGGCCGCGATCTCAAGTCCAGTCCACGTAACAAAATCGCCTTCGTACTCGGAAGGACCACAAAACCGGCACTAGAGCGCTCAATAAGACAAGAAAAGCTTCTGCACTCTGACATCATTCAGGCAGACTTCATCGACACCTACAACAACCTGACAATCAAAAGCGTCGCGATGCTACGATGGGCGTGCATATACTGTCCTCAGGCTCAGTTCGTCGCCAAGCTCGACGACGACACTTTCCTCAACGTGCCTAATTTTCTGAGAGTCATGAAATCACTGCCGCGTAACACAATTTACGGCAGGCTCTTCAATCACACAAAGCCTATTCGGGACCACGAATCACCTTGGAGGACAAGTTTCAAGGAATACCCGGCGGAATACTATCCTGACTTGATCAGCGGGACATGCTACGTTATCGGCGGCGATGTTCTGAGGCTCCTCTACAAGGCGACTGGGACGCAACCGCCGTTTCGTCTTGAAGACGTACTCATTACTGGGCTCAGTGCCGAATCTGTGGGCATTCCGCGAGTTGGTGTGCCAGGCTTCAATTCTGTGCCCGTGAGAACTGTGTGTGAGATGCGGGATCAGGTGACGTCGCATTATATGACACCCAAGGCAATGCGTGACTACTACAAAGCACTGAAACAACCATATTTAAAGTGTTAGAATTTCAATTACGTGGTAGGACGTTCACAACCTACCGACTGAGTGCGTCCTTATTATGAAGAATGGTACGCAAAGGGCTACATTTAGTTAAACTTGAGGAAGAAAACGAGAAGGGACGGACAAACACAAACTTCCTACTGTCAACAACAGGTTGTTGCCAGTTGGAAGTTTGTGTTTGTCCGTCCCTTCTCGTTTTCTTCCTAAAGTTGAACTATCCATACAAACCCACCCGTTCTGTCCTTACATTGTTACATTTAATTCGTTGGCAATTACATGGGATTGCGACGTCGTAACCCTTTGATTATATATTTCTTGAGAATAAACCATCCTAGTAATCCAATACATTTTTGAGTAATGAATCTGTATTCGATTACATTTTCCCTGAAACTGGGCTTGATAGTTTTATTGGAATCTTTGTTTTGCCGCACTAATCTTCATGTAAGTAATTCTGATATAGAGCAATGGCTATTTTTCATTGCTTATTCCGGTATTTTACAAATGCTGTTGGAAGGAGTAGTGGGTCAACTTGCTAAACTGAAGGATTAACTGTATCTAATGTTTTATTTCCGTAGGTGAAAATATATATGATACTCGCTTTTCGCCGAATCGCCGTCTTCCAAATCGTAATACTCGGAATGTGCTGCAGAAAACTCCATCTTTTTTCCGCACGACATTAGGCTGTACTTTTCCATGAATCATTCATACTTATGAGTGCATTGCTCATAGTAGAAATCATCACAAATATGTTTATTTTGTACCACTGATATCATGAGTTAGGTGCGCTATGTGTAACACGTTGTGCGCTTATTATGATGATTGCGTAAGATTAAGTGCATATCCGCGTGCAGCGCACTGCCTTGGGTTTTAGGCGGGCGCGTTATGGGCGCCAGTGCCAAGCACTCCTCCAGGAAACAAAGAAACGCGGGCTATTCGAAGCGAGTCGTCCTCAGTACTCTGAACGATGACCACAAAAGCACGCCAAATTCCGCTCCATATGTGACACTTGCTGTCGTACTTGGCACACTCCTGCCACATGGCGCCTCCGTTGTATCAGTTCTTGAAACATGTCCTCGCATTTCTCCGCCCAAGAGTGCAGCAAAATACGTTGGGGACGCCGGCATTTACTTAATCATTTGTAACCGAGATATCTCAACATTATTTACCGACTTTGCAGGTTTCGCATCATACATCAAGCATTTGAAAATTACAAGACACGTCTTATGCAATCTCACTCTTAAGGCATATATTGGCTTTGTTTTTACATCAAAAGTACTGAATTAAAAAAAAAAACTTCATTCAATCAAATTCTTATCAGAAAACACTAGTTGAAGGTAAGATAAAGAGGTTCTTAAAACAAACGCGTAAGAGGTAATTTCTACAGTATGTTTATCCCGTGAATCTTCATATCAAGTTCGTTGTTTTTTTTCGAAAATAGAACTAAACGCAAGAGAACAAAAAAAAAACCCACAACATCATACTAGTCGTTACGTGATAATTAGAATCATTTGGTGGGCTAGGTGGCAACACATCTTGGTAAAATTAGCGCAAAGACAAGGGAGGAAGAACGTTCTTTTTTCTTGTCTTTGCTCTAATTTTACCAAGTAAAGTGATTAAGCGATATTTCGGCCGCCAGGCGCGTGTACCTCATGTGGGCAGCCCGTGCAATTGCAAGCTTACCAGGTTTATTATCACACACTTTGACCAGTCGTAACTTCCTTTTAACCTCTTTGAAAATAGCAAGTGTGCGCGTTCATAGCTACGATGGGCGCTAAAGATGCGTGAAAGCGGAGATTCCGAAAACTCCTTTTAAGACGTAACGCTCCGGAAAGGAGGAGCTTCGTCGGTACTTTAAAATTTATTTTCTGCAGCGTTAGGGAACCAAATTGCAAAATAAGCTTAATATTCGTGATGCCTGAGGCAAATTGAGGACGATTTATGCGTTTTCGGTTAAATACTGACGCGTGTTATTTTCTCTTTAATGCGAACTGAATATTTTTGTTTACTTCAATATGAAATATATTGTGGTGAAATTAACATCCATACTTTTCCCAAGAGAAATCTCTAAGTATGTATACGGTTAGGGAAAAGTTGAGTGCTTCGTCGATATTGAATTAAGTGTAACTGAAATAACTATCAATAAATAAACTTATTGTTTGCCAAACGTTTATTGCGTCTAAGCATCATAAACGTGGTCCACGTGAATATACACATCTGATCTAAAACATCTATGTAAAATCCAACAACGTTTTGAATGCTCAGCAAAGACATAAACTAAAACTTTTTTAAGGGAGGCAGGTAACAAAAAAAAATGTCTTCCTTCTCGTCAGAATAGCTGGTAAACAATAGAAGATCCCAAATGTCATCAGAGCCTTTAATATTTGTATCAGCAGCTGCTCTTAAATCCACTCGTATGCCTTGCACAGTCATACATTCAATTTATGAGCTAACATACACAATCGCCTTTCCATGGCCAGGGTGTTCATTTTTGATAGAAACTCTCAAGACTTACCTACGAATGCAGCCAAAGAGACGCTGCGCGGCAGGACCGATGTTTTTTTACACTATCCACCGCCTGAATGCAAAGTACGTTTGTTGTCATTAGATAGTTAAACTTAGTTTACACCTCTCACTTACCTTCCCACACGGCCTCATTAATCATATAATGTACTTGATGATGAGGGATTACTGCAGATAAGTTTTACTTTTTTATATCTGTAGGTAGACAAATTCGCAAACTGTGCTTTCATAAGAAAGAAAACAGTTATTTACAAAAAATGTATTTTAACGAAAAAAAATTAATATGTAATGTTTAATATGTTGTTCTATTGTTTATCGCTCATAAAAAGAACTTCTTTATGTTCAGGAGATTACTATAAAGAAAAATATGATTATGAATTTGTGGGTACAAGGATGCCAAAGCATTCATAATCACGCTTGCTTTGCAATAAATTCATGACTGCCAAATGAGCCATAGATTCAGATCTACTTGAAATGTTTTTATCATAATCAAGAAGTGAAAACAAAGGATTTCATGATTGATATGGTCACTGTAGTGTGGAAGCAAAATAAAGAATAGCGCCAGATCTTGGAAGGATTTTGTTTCGGGCCTCATAATACAGGAGGACCTTAATCACATGGTAACCTAAGAACGGGGGATAAACGGGACGAAAGTTGCAGATCCAAACTGGAGGTTTGTGTAACCCGCCACGATTTCCCCTGCTCCTGGGTTACCATGTCAGCTCTGAACCAGCTGGCTTGCAATTTCGCTTTAGTACTAAAGTGAAGAGATTTTCTTTGCTGATTTAGTTATTCTGAGCTCAGGGAATATATAATACATATGAACTTAACCGCGTTTGTTCTTGGCTATTGTTTTAATAGGCTAGCAGTGTCGCACCGACAAAGAGTGAAAAGGGGGGGGGGGCGGATTGTAACCCCTCTCTCTGCCTAGCTACAGCAAAAGTACTCCTGATAGGTTTGGTAAAATGATTTTAAACTGGTGACCTTCACTTAACATTTTGCTGCATGAGATGCAACCGACGAGCCTAAAATCATAACGTATGACGTCGCGCATTTTACAGGCTTAGAAACCTGCTGCAACATGCAGCGCGTCTGCGCGTCAGTGCGCCGACAGATGCGGCATTGCGGCCGTTCCGCTTTTAGGATGCGATATGGTTACCAGGCCAAAGAAATTCGTCGACCTCGCATCTGTGCCGGGAGCAGACTTGTACGTAACGCGTTACAAGTAATTGATTACTTGTAATCAATTACAGTTAAGTGTAATTTTGTAACGCTTCAAATTACATTTGTCAAGCTGTAACGCTTGGAGTAATTCAATTACTTTTTTTCTGTAATCAATTACAAAATCAATTACACAATTACCAATTACATTTTTCATCCCACAATTTTTTTTGCTCACAAAAATCAGCATAGTCACTCAGCCATGGAGCAAAAATGATTGACATTTTTTTAGCATCTAAAAAAAAATAAAACTAGGATTAGTCGGCAAATCCTTTTTTCTTTTACGTCACGCTCTTCTACAAGCGCGCCACCAGCCTTGGCTGGGGAGTTCCGGATCTCGTTGCAGATTGCTGATAAAGTCAACGGGAAGCGGGAACTCGCAATTGACTTTTTAGTGGGCTTTGTTCCTTAGGTCGACGCGTCAGCTACACGACAAGGTCCGGGTCTGAAAACAAAAAAGGGAACAATAACGAAACAAAATTGTGTACGCAATATTTTACTGTGTATTTGTGTATTTCTGTCATCGCAATAAAAAGTAACGTGAAAGTAACTTGAAAAGTAATCAATTACTTTGCAGTAATTGTTCAATTACTTCTGGGAGGCAGTAATCAGTAACGGTAATCGGTTACTTTTTTGACTGTAGTAATTGTATTTGTAATCAGTTACTTTTTTTCAGTAACGTGTACAAGTCTGGCCGGGAGACAGCGGTGCATGAAACTTTAGCGCAGTTTTATGTTGAGCGTTTCTAAAAACTTCAACTTTGATTGTGCTCTTTGATTTTAACGATCTCAGGGTCTATGTCCAGAGTTCCCTGTTCTGGCCATTTGTATCCGTTTCACCCGCACGAACCGTATGCCGACAGACGTTCACTCTGTTCCTGTCGGTTTTTTACTTCAATTTCCGTGGTGCTTAAACCGCTATTGGTATGGTTATTCGCCCTATGATTTCTTCCAGATGTGAAGAGTTTAATTAAGTCCGTTTCTCACTAATATTCGAATTAAACAGAGCAGTTTCATGTTGGCATACTTTTATACGGAATCGGTTGGGTGTTGTGTATTAGTCTATATAAAACTTGTGAATAATAAAAAAACTAATTACTTTCGCTGCTTTTGTTTTTGTCTTTTTTTTGATGCAGTAATTTTGGCAAGTTTTAAGATGTGCAAACGAAGAACAAATGGTTGTCGGTTTTATAAAATGTCTTGTCGCGAGGAAAGTGTCGCGCCTGTGTTTCAAGAGCCTTGATGTTGTGCCGACTTGGGCAC